AGACCACTTTTCAGCTGCTGCTGTTAATGAGACGTGGTTGTAAGCGAAAGAAACTCTCAATGGCCCAGCGAAGATTAGACACCCTACCATTGCACTTAATGCTTGCAAGTTACAAGTTGTTAATTATAGTCTACTATAGTCTACTACTACTACTTATACAAAGTTCTTGCTAGGGTACATCAAGTCTAATATAGAAGGCTATAGTTGAAGCGGCAATGTTATATTTCTAAATAAATCAGGATCGATATCTAAACACGAGATCTTTGAGAACACCTTATTTCAAAAATTATTCTATGTAAAATTTACTCTTAAAATATTTATTGTAATTTGATTTGAATTTTTAATTTAATTTGAGTTCAGATAGGTCACGAATGATTGAAAAGTAAATTTTTTAAAATTGTTTGTTTCTATTCCCTGTATGCGTAGAATTTTCCAGAAATAAAGAGCTGGGGTCAGAAAAATTGGAATTTTACTTCATTAATAAGTTTGTACAAATAGGAAAGGCTACGGTCAGACAGGCAAATAATTTGCACACCAATTTGTCCGACTATTCTTGAATTTTTATATTCGCGATTCTATTTGATCTACTTGTATACATATACATTTCCACTTATTTGTCCGTCCGACCACAGACCATTAAGATATAACTTAATAACTCAATATAAAATATCTTGAACTACTTCAAAAGATTAAGCGGCACAGTGTCTGTCCTTTGGTAGAATGAGCTGGATATAAAATAAGTTCCTCTCTTAAATACCAATTTTAATTATGCCTGACCAAAAGTGAAAGCTTCATAGCATTAGAGCTGGTTTGCCTAATGCTGGCAACTCATGTATATATGTACTATATATGTGTCTATATGTAGCGAATACAATGGCAAAGTTTGACTTCCCTTTGCAAATGGTCAAAAGGGCAAACCGGATGTGGTTTGTTAATAAGAGAGGCAGGCTGCGCTGCTAACGACTATTGCTGCTGCCGTTGACTTGTTTTGGTTTTGCAGGGCATGCATTAATTATGGGAGCGCCTAAAAGTCGGCTAATTAATATGCAACAAACCAGAGTGGCAGTTAATGAGCCTAAACAGCACACACACATACTTGTATATAAGCGTACATATATACCCGTATGGATGTGCGGTAGCAAGCGCCAATGAAGCGGTTGCTTTGAATGCAAACATTGAAGTGCCCGTAGCTGTTCAAAGGCGAACGAAATAACTCAATTTTCACAGAGTGCCGCATGGCAAACCAATAAACACTTTTTGTAACAAATTCAAACTACTACGCAACAGCTACTGGAGCAGCAGCAGCAGCAGCCAGTAGGGGAGGGCGCAGTAAAACTTTCTGACAGCGACAACATGGCGTACATGCCAACTGCACTTGGATAAGTGGGCGTGATGGGCAGTGGCTGTCACAGCGACACACGCACTCTCAAACTCATTGGCACCTGTGGGAGCAACCGCTGCCTCCCAGCCAGCAGTTTGGTGCAACGGAAACGTTTGCCAAATTAACAAAAGTCTCGGCCAACTTTGGCGCTGGTGCAGCTGCTGTGTAAAGAAACAGGCGCACTGCTGCTGCAAAAACAATAACAACAGCTACCAAATGTCTCGAGCACATTTCAATTTGCGCGGCTAACAACACATACACACACACACACACAGATACACACACCCATGGCTGTACACATATGCACACAAAGTTGCTGCCTGCATGCGGACAAATGTCAAAATATTTAGTTTTACAACAAAACTTCTGCGCAACGTGCAAAAATTGAAAAGAAATATTGGTTAGCTGCCGTTTGAAAAAATGCGAATTAAACGGAAAAAATGGAAAATGCCGGTTGGGTGGTTCGGTGGCTGGGTGGCTGGGTGGCTGGGGGCGGGCCTACTTCCGCAAAGAATGCCAAAGTTTTGAGCTGCAAATTAAAATGAAGTAAAATTTCCTGCTTCTATTTTTTCGTTTTAGCTGCGCGGCTTCACGGTTCTGTGGAACATTTTGTATTTGAATTATTTGTCATTGTGTATCCCCATGACTTTGTAAGTACTTGTGGATATGACGATGGGGTACCGCATTCGTCAGCATGAGCGGACAGCGTCAGCTTTTGTGATAAAGCCATTTGTGTGATGTTTCTAATCTGCCGAAACGGTATTTTGAACAAAAATGAAGAAATAAAATACATAATTTGAGTTCAATTTGAGGGTGCAAATGAAAGCACTTATATAGTTATTATTAGTTTATACTTGTACATTAGTGAATAATAATACATTTGGGGTCAGTCGTGATCTAATCCCTAATTTATGTTGTTTATAGTTTCGATCCGATTGTTTATGTTTAAGAAATTATATACTCTGCTTTTGTAGTTGTATAAGCATAATCTTGTTTTATGAGGATATTTTTATGGACATTCCTCTCTAGAGACTTACAATTACAATTACAAATTAAACTATTTCCTAACAAAAGTTATGCATTAAAAAAAATTTTATGGAAAGAAGGCTAAGTCGCAGCAAGAAAATACTAGGCGGTACATACATTTTAGGAAAGTATTTTCCTTCTCCTTGCCGAAGACTCATGTTTTTTTTTACTTAGCTATATACATTGGCAAGTCTATTGTTTTGGTGTGCAAGGATGAATGATTGACCGCACGTCATTGTTACATACTTGTAAGTAAAAGATCATCACGACGAGACAAATTTGATTTCCCAATGAGTGGACAGATATTTCGCAAACAGTAAGGCTTATCGGATGGAGGAACAAGGCACAATGAAGGGTATAGGCGAAGCCAACATCTTAGCTCGTTTACATCTTATGTTGTATTCTTATGCAAGCAGTCCTGGTCGCAGAACTTGAACACATTAATGCTTTTAGTTTGTCGCAAGACCTTGACAGCACACACACACCTTGTCGCCCACAACAGTCTCATACATTGAGCATCATTTAGTTATCATTAAGACATTTGTTGCTGGTGCGCTCCTAAAACGCGTCAAAACAGCTTCACAGTGGCACAGTTCGGCGGCAAGTGAATGCTGTTTTAATAATTTATTTGGCGCATACAGCAGGTTGCTCATTAACACGCACACGTAAATACACTCACACAGACATACTCGTACATGTGTCGAGACACGCACATCACGCACTTGGCCGTCTTGCTGGCTCGCCGCCTCCAGCTCGCCGGGTTGCGAGCTTCCTCGGGCATATGGAGCGTATGCTCGTATCACCTTAATTACAGACGGAGGCAGGCTCGAAGCATTGTGCACGCAGTCAGACGGCAAATGGCAAGCAAGCAAACGGCTTTCATGGTTGAGTACACCGTACCCCTAAAGCTGTCACCCCGCCGGTACCCGAAGCAACCGCGCACCACATTGTCCTCGATGTTACGCTTTAGCGATTCGACACTGTACTGTGGCAGAAAGCAAAGCACAGCAGAGCAGAGCAAAGCAGACACTCGACTTCTGCTGATAAGCGTGAGATTTTTCCACACAAAAACACACACATACGCAGATAAATAAATGACACTTAACCCACACACACAGAGACCCTAACACACAGATGCTCGTCATGGCCATGAATACATGCACCGTTGAGTTGCGTTTATACCAGTTTTATGTTACATCTAAGTGAAATTTAAGGACTCCACTCAACAACGTTCTAAATCCTCACATAGTTCATGCTGCCGATGGGGGGTCGGCATTGCGGTGGGGCTGGGGTTGAGGATTCCTCGTCTATCTATGTATGTACTTGTATGTATGTATATGTGTTTGCCTATTACGGAAGCCGGAAGCCATCAACAGTGACGAGTGCCAGCAAGCAGAACACATTACAGCGCCCATCACATCGCATCGGTTCAGATACAATCTACTGGTGGTGGTGATGGGCAAGAGATGGGCCGAGTGTAGGCCGGTGTGGTTGGCATAGTTACAGAAATAGTCACGGTGTGCACCTGCAACAGGACGTTGGCACTTAACTTGTTGGCCATATGGCCCGACCATTGTGCAGGCCACGTTGCAATGCCAACATTTCGATTCTAATAACCAATTACAAATGGCGACCAGCTAAACCCATTGTGCATGTCTACAGGAGTGTGTGTGTGGGTGTGTGCATGGCTGTGGCTTAACTTGTTGCTGGACTTTATGACATGGCAGCAGTTATATCCAGGCTATTATTTCAAGGATTATATGTGAAAGGACAATGAACGAACGAACGAACAAACGCACCAGTGAGCTCTGAGGAAAACGAAAGGACGTGGGTTGGCCAGGATTTTCCTTGCAAAACAAATCACACATAAAACGGCGCACTGCCGCACCTGACAAAAGGGACAAATCACATACAGGGACACATAGACCGCTGCCGATTGCCGGCACAAAAGGTCCAAGAATTAGGCGCCAATGAAAGTTTTGCACACCAGCAACAGAGCCATTCGCCACTGTTTGAAATGGGTTTGTCGACGCGACGGCTGTGCACAATTTTGCATGTGACACTCTTAAGCGGTTCACATTGTGACGAAAGTGCTTACTTCATTACAGAAATATTAAATAGCTTCGGAATTATTTTGTAATAAGGAGAGTAGTGGCAATGTACTTGTATTTTCTCCAGTTATACTTGCCAGTTCTTCATTACTGGCTATTTCGTTATTTTGTTAGTCAGTTCCAAGAAATAGACGAGGTTCGGGAAGAAGGGTTGCAAAAAACGAATTTAATCTGATTAGAGACCTTACAGCTTTTCGTTACAGTTCTATACTCAACTTAAATCGCGAATATCGTACCACTGTGCACTGCTGGAACTTAAGCAATTTGTGGCGGGTGATTGAGCCATTAGCTAGAAAGGGCAAAGACACAAATTTGGCAAAGAACAAATTTTATTCCTGGAGTAAGGAAAGGCATATATACAAAGTAAGCTAACGTTATGGAAACACAGAAATGCGTGGTAAGTGAACAAACGTACGAGTGTGTGGGTGTGTGCGATTAGGAAACGTAACCGGGGCTTTATCACAATCCAGACTATATGGTTCTTACTTCACGCGGAAGCGACGCAGACTGGGTGGCAAGTAATCCTGTCCGGGCACCACATTGGCTGGCAAGTATTCTGGAGCAGGGGCGCTCACAGAGCTGGGGCGGACAGCTGCCAGAGGGGCCTGCGAGGCAAAGTTCAACACAGGGGCGCTGCCCTCGTTGGAGATGCGGGAGACACCTGGCAACTGGTTGTATTGGTTCTGAATGGCCAGCTGTGCGTTGGCCGCATCCTGAGGTGTACGATACTTGACGAAGTGCACTTCAGGTTTGTTCGATGAGGAGGATTTAAGTCCGTTAAGTTGCTTGGCTAGATTCGAGATATCAGCCTGCTTGCTGAGCACGTAAATGGCGGTCTGCTGATCAGCCGACTGCTTGGCCAACTGCAAGGCTGCGCGCTCGAATCCACGATTCTCGGGCGTGCGGATGAAGACAATGCGAAGGTTCTTCTTGAGGGAGTTGGCAATCTGTTGATTGTTGGCGCCATCATCGAACTGTTCCTCGGGGGCGGCATAGCTGTAGAATTCTTTCTGGAATTCCTCGATTAGTGGGGCAGCAATAGGTGTGGGTGCAATACTTTGTCCTTGTGATGAGATCGACGACAATTGGGAATCGATGGGCTGCGAAAGCACCGCCTCTCCGTGCTGAGCAGCTTGTACAACATCTCCAGCGCCGGGTAGGAAAGAAAGACCCTGATCGGCATGCGCAACGGGCTGATAGTTGTAGCCCAGATTATCGGCACTACAGGCAACGGCAAAGACACACAGTAGCTATAAAAAGTGGTGGAATGGGAGTTCAATCGATCATTTGATCTTTTATCAGCACACCAAGCACTTACAATAAAGGCGCGCATGGTTGCTGTTGCTATTGCTGTTTGCTGCTTATGGTATTTCACTATTAAACACACGACTTCAGATCTAAAGTGGAACTAATGTCTTACGCTACAGATTCAACCGCTTTTATAGGCGCAGTCAACGCCGGTGTTTTTTGTGTTTTGCATATGCAGCGGCAACATTCCCTGCAACGGCCCACGAGCCAGTGCCCCACCCTCAGTCTCATCTCCAACCCGAAAACCTCTCAGCAGACCTCTGAGACCATCACCGGACCATACGTGCGATGACCTTGCCATCAAATGCGATATTAATTTGGATTTTATTCGTTTCCGAAATTTGTGAATGCTTGTTTTGCTCTCTTCGACATAGGCCTAAACGCTCATGGACCGTCCGCTGAAGACACAGATGCTTGGCCTAAACATTTGTCTTGATATCAACGCCATGGATATTTGTTTATGCGACGCGTCGCAACTCAAAATGCTCAAATGCTTTTTGATTTAAATGCATTTTACGACATTTATAAATATGCATGCGGTCCAGCAACAGCATTAACCGTCCCCATAGCCCTAATTGATTTGTGTCGCTGCGACGGGTCATAAAGTCGAAAACAAACTGAAATATATTTCAAATCAAAATACGCAGCTGATGAGCTGCCAGCCACTGTGTTGAAATGTGTGGAGTGGGAATAATTCATGGCTAGCCCACTCAGTCAGACTGTCAGACAGCCAGCTAATCGGGCGGCCGGATCCGGATCCGGATGAATGTGGGTTCGCTTTCGCGTTTAGCTTTAATCCAGTAATTATAATTTTAATAATTTTCTACATCTGTGATTTTATCTGTGGCGCCGCATCGTGACGTCAGTCTTTGCCAATGCCGGTCAGATGGTTGTTCTGTTGTTCAGGCGGTCAGAGAGGCTCTCTAAAGCGTTAATGAAGTTCTTTAACTAATTTAAACTTTTGGCAGCAAGCAGCAACAACCACAGCAGCACAAACACCATCACAACTTAAAATAAGAAGCGCAAAACAAAAGCAAAGCCTAAAACGTGCCTAATTTGAAATGGCGTCCAAACAACACACACACACACACACAATAACAACAGCAGAAGCAAAAACAACAGCAAATAAAAATAAAAACAAAAATGGGAAGCTAACTAAAACACGCAAACTTCTTGGCAGCTGGTCGAAATCGAAATACGCTTTACAGGCTAGCAGCACAACATGTTCCAACATCGTTGCGCCACACCTGTGTGCACAGTGTGGAGAAGTGAAACCGAAAGGTGACCAAACGAAGTAGATGCCTTTAAGAACATTTTGAAACCTCAAGAGCAAAAAAATTCCCAAGCTGCCGTGTGCTTCCTAACTTTAGAATTAAGCTTAAATATGGGGAGATGACTTATAAATATACCTTTGTTGATTCGAGGAATTAAGCCATTGTTAAAACAAAGAGTGGGACAACATTAGGGTAACAAGGGGGATTTTTGTTCAACTTCAATGGTAATTAATATGCCAAAATAAATGATTATAGAAAAACCAAATTTTAGGAAAATATGCCATTAAATAAGCGTTTATAATTTAAAGTTTCTGCTTATAAATTAATTATTTATATTCTACGGTGGTATTGCAGTTATTGTAAAGTAAACATTCTATTTCAAAAGAGCTCAGCAAAAGAGCAGGTAAAGATAAATATGCCATTAAATAAACGTTTATAATTTAAAGTTTCTGCTTATAAATTAATTATTTATATTCTACGGTGGTATTGCAATTATTGTAAAGTAAACATTCTATTTCAAAAGAGCAGATAGAGGCCACAAGCCAAGTTTTCAAGTTATTTGCCGAATAAAACAAATCAATTGATATGCACCCTTTTGAATGTGGCTGGCTTAGGCAATCATTCATTTTATATTTATGTATTCATGAATTTTTAGATTTATGGGTCAAAAGTTATAGCCAAGCCATTAGCAGACATAATATTTGCTATTTAATATTTAAAACTAATCAGATAACTTTGCTCGCTTGTCGCTAGAAGTGAAATAAAATATGAAAGGAAGTCTATTAATATGAGTGCACGAATAACTTAATTTCTTATTTGATATTTTGTTCTATTTTATATTTTAAAATTATGATTGTAGATGTTTCGAAATTGCACACTGTGCCTGATCAAATGCAGCAAGTCACGGTTGGGCTGGTCAACAAAAAAGATTGTACTGGTGGTTGGTTGAGAATTGTGGGTGGGCCGCAAACTGCTTGACAGGATTAAAGCAAAGCTCGAGGAGGGTGTCCATGGTAAAAAGCGACTTGACGTGACTGGCAAACTTTTGGAAGGCTCTGCTAACGAGCGCACGCTCGCTCCTTACTCTCCGCTCCAGGTTTCATGTAGCTTAAGCATGCACGCTAAAATACTTAAAATGAAACTTGCTCCACAGATTTGCGGAGCAACGCCGGGCGCATTGGGCTTAGCATCGTTGAATCGTCCGTGGCGTCGACTTTTTTACGGTTGCACTTCAAAATGTTGCCCAAAGTGTCACATGGCACACGGACAGGGGTGGAGCGCGGTGTGTGTTTGACCTTTGACAGTAAAACAATTTGCGCTATGCAAGACACTTTTGAAATGATGTCAGCGTCAGAGTCAGCGCTAACGCCAACGCCCGTTGCCATCACCTTCGTTCCGCCGTGCCCTGCCTGCATAGCCATAATTTAGTTGGAACATCCTTAAAGCAGCGACAACATGGCGTGGAAACTAAAACGGGCGACTGATATCCGGTCGTAGTCGCGACTCATGTGGGCGGCAAGCTCGGCGCACAGCTCATTAAAAAGTTTGCCAGCGACAACGACAGCGACATTGCTTAAGCAAGCACTTGCCCGATGACTAAAGCCTGCGACTGCGACGGCAACAACGACGACGACCACGACGACGAAGACAACAACTGGGGGGCAAAAGTGAAGGCGACACATTAATGATTATCTAAGAGTTGCTTTGAAGATAATCCAAAAGTGTGTGGCCAACTTTGCTCGCTTCAAAAACTCAAAAGTGGAATGTTATGGCCACACAGCTGGAGGGTAATGGAGGACCCCACCACTGCCAGTACTGCGCCCGCGTTGCTTGGGCCAGAAGTTGAGACGCCCCGCCGGCGGCGCTTGTAATTAATTATTCATATTAGCGTACACATCTTGTTGGCCTACGTTATTATGGTTACCATTTGACGGATTTTTGATTAATTTGCATGAAATTGAAATTGTTGGGCAAGTACTGACAGTTTCTAGACAGCCAGGATGCTATGAATATCGTTAAAAGTAGAACATTCGGGCAGTCATGGAACAATATCTTCTTATTTGATTTTGTAATGCACAACCATACTGCATCTGAACTGATTGATTGGAATTGGTTTTCTTTAATTGAATTGCAAATCCTCAGATGTTATTGCTATTGTAAATCACATTGTACCATATTTTTATACAATTGTGAAGGTATTTTATAAATGTATCCCCAGCTGCATTTCAGCAAAATACAAGGATTATTCAAAAGCTATTTAGAAAAAACAGCCATAGTGAATCTGCTACTGTCTAAAGATAGATAATTCACATAGCGCCCTTAGGTACAAAGGTACATAAAAGCGAATACGAATCTACGTCACCCTGATTGGGTAAGAGGTGATCCACTTCCACAAAAAATTTCAATTTAAAATGAATTTGCTCATCGTCTTAGCATTAGATTAGATTAGCATTAGATTAATAGCTTAAGTATATCCAACTATATCTGGTTCTCAACCATCAACATATAGTTCCAACTAGTAATTGTGGTATGGTTTCAAAATTAATTGCAAATGTGAAAGACTTTTTAAAAATCCACATTTGTAATCAATTTAAATTTGGTTAGTAATGATAGTAAGGTGAAGTTTTGAAGTTTCTTAATAAGCTCTGGTGACTAAGAAACCTCACGAATGCCGCACTTTTAAAGTTGTATAATCTTAGATTTTATTTTCTATATTTGGCTGTACGCCTTAAATTAAAACAGTCTTCATAACAAATATACTCTGCAAAAATTCACGCTCTAACGACGATAAGTTGGCGGTAAATGCTGGCGGAAGAGCGCTTCTAGCTTTGCCGCCTCTATTTCGCTGGCCTGCTCATGGGTCTCATAATTGGAGGCGCCTCGAGACAAGATCTTGAAAACGACATGCTGTGATTGTTGCACCGGCAGCTGTTGCTGTTGCACTGGCAACTGTTGCTGTTGCACGGTCGGCTGTTGTTGTTGCACTGTTGGCTGTTGCTGTTGAACCTGCAACTGTTGCTGTTGCACTAGCAACGGTAGTTGTTGAAATTGTTGCACGCCATAATTCGGATTCAGTTCAAATACATCAGCCGTCTGTGTGGCATAACTGCTGGTGCTGCCCGGCAATCTATCGTAATTACTACGCAGACTACTTAGGGCACGCGTCACATCCGCAGGCGTGCGATATTTGACGAAATGGACGCTGGGCTTGCGTGCCAACTGCTCTTCAATATCAGCCTTTTGCTGGGCCAAGGTCTCCGGGTCCGTCTGACGTTGCAGAACGTAGATGTCCAGAGCATTGCGTGCGGCTAGTTGCTTTGCCGTCAGCGTGAAGAGATTCGTCTCGGGCGTGCGTATGAAGACCACTTGCTGAGGTGGTGTCAATGCAGCTGCCAATTGGCGGACAGCCTTCACGGGTGGGGTGTTATCCTCCGGTGGTGCAGTGTAGCTAAAGTATTCAGTGGAACGAGGGCTACTTGGAGCCTGGAATTCGGCATTTAGAGCGTAGAAGCTACCTAGCAGGCAAAGGATCTGCATGATACCGTCGAAAAAAATATTTTAAAGGAAAGTAATTAAAGAGACAGCAAAAAAAGTTTGAGAAAGAAGTAGAGAGAAAGTAAAAGTAAAATAACAGAGTTACATTAAGTTGCTATAATCATAACAAAAGTAAACAGACATTTGAATGAGCCTTAAGACAAGCCGGCTTGCAATATAGTTTTTCAAATATTTAAATCCAGTTTAAAGGAGAACTAATAATTTAGAACTCTTGTGGGTCCCTCCCTACTATTACTAAAAATATCATATTATAAGAAATATTATGGAAATGTAATAATAATTGAAACTGTATAGCTTTTGTGTTTTTTGCAAAAGATGAGAACTCACCAGCAGCGCTCGCATGTTGATTTGCTCGCCTTGGTCCTTCCTCTTGGCGTTGGGGTCTCGCTTTGTATGTTGGCGGCCGGCAGCGGCTGTTTTTCACAGCTCGAAGCGCAACTCGTTTATAATCTAGTCAAAGCAACAAAACCATCCTTATATACGACACAAACAACAAACTGCCAGACCACACGTATTCGAAAGTACCATCGCTGGCTTCTCGATGGCGATAGCGATGTCGACGGCGACGGCAACATCGTTCGTTCAGCGTTTGCATTTTTCTTCATTATAATTTTTTTTCATTTATTTTTGTTGGACTTACAAAAGATTTTTGCACATTTTGCCCGCCTCTGTGGCTCTGCTCTGGTTTTGTATTTGCCTGCTCCGATTATCCATGTTAATGTCGTTCAGCAAGTTTCAATTTTGAAATTCAAATACGCTGGCTTGTTGTTGCTGTTGTTGTTGTTGTTTCTGCTGCTACTAAGCTCATCGGCAACAAATGCAATACGCACAATACGAAAGATAAAGCCAAACATATGTGATGTTGACCTGCCCCACGATTTGAACTTGAATTAAAATTCGCATAAAATTTACAAATGAGCCCCCGTTAACGAAACGCAGCAATTTGAATTATTTATCAAATATTTTTTTATGTATACAAGCAGTATTTATCGTGACCATATTTAATGGCTTGTCTTGGCGATTAGGGTGCCATTGTCTGTCCAAAGACATAAACAATGGCATTCATTGCGTCGCTATCCCCAGCTTATCCCCACCAGCTCATCCAGCCCCCACATTTACTTTCACTCTCTGTTCGTTTTTTATTGACGCTTTTTATGGGCCCTGGCATTTGTTAATTTACACATCATTTTGAAGTTTAGAGTGATTTTAATAAGCGCAGAAGTCGCTGCCGGCGCCATCATCAGCCGACTGGACCATGATAGACAACACTAATGGCAGCTCGCTTTTTGATCTGATAAGCTGCTTAACGAAATTTACAACTTGCCACCGATCTGCGATTTTGTAAACAGTTGCAAAGAAATAGCAATGGCTTTGGACTTTTTGTTTTGTGAGCTTTATTTCGTTTTGGGCATTAGCTCTACTATTAAATACATGGCTTCGCAGTCTTCGAATCTAATTAATGGCTTCATCATCACATCAGTATTTCATCTCCGGGCGCGTCTTCTCCTTCGTTTATCGGCTGGGGATGGCGGCAGGTAGGTATGACTTACTGGCTGAGAAGGCAAATATGACTTGCTGGGCGTTAGATATGTGCGTGCTTTACTGGCTGTTGGAAATATCATGCGACCGCCTGGCCTGTGCCGCTCATTGATACGAAAGTCCACGCGATCTGTAGATTGAAGAGCACGTGCATTCAAATCGTAGGAGCTGGGCCCCAAAGGTAGTTCACCGAAACCCTGGGGAGCCGCGGGTAAAACCGCAGCCGCGGCCCCTTCTCGATAATCCCCTGTATTTGCTCCATAGTTGGGCAGAGCCGGCAAATAGTTCGATGAGGGCAACTGTGGCAATGATGGCGCTGAAAGTTGTTCCTGTGCTGGCAGATACCTTGATGAAGGCAATTGAGGTGATTGCGGCAACACTGGCAGCTCTCTAAGTTCTTGCTGTGCTGGCAGATAGCTTGATGAAGGCAACTGAGGCGGTTGCGGCAACACTGGCAACTCTGTAAGTTGTTGCTGTGCTGGCAGATAGCTTGATGAAGCCAATTGAGGCGATTGCGGCAACACTGGCAGCTCTGTAAGTTGTTGCTGTGCTGGCAGATAGCTTGATGAAGCCAATTGAGGCGATTGCGGCAACACTGGCAGCTCTGTAAGTTGTTGCTGCGCTGCTGAGAAGCCAGATGAGGGCTGCGGAGAGAAAGATTTACCAGAATGTGGACTGGATAGACTCGCTCCACTGTAATGTTCCTGAATGTGCTGCTGCGCATGCGCAGCCTCTTCCTCCGTCTTATATTTGACAAAATGAACTTCTGGCTTGTGTTTATGTTGTTTGCGCAGAGCTGTTAATTGAAGTGCTAGTTCGTCGGCGTCCGTCTGTTTGTTGAGCACATAGATTTCCGTTCTGTCCTCGTTGGTCTGCTTGGCATAGGCATTTAGAGCACCTTGGACTGCCTTATTCTCAGGCGCCTTTATGAATACAACCTGCAGATTCTTTTGCGAGAGGTCGCCTAATTTGCGCTGGACACGCTCACCCTCGTCGGAGTAGTCTTCCGGAGCTTCGAAAGCATAGAAATGCTTGTGGTATTCGGTGTGATCCACATCTTGAGTGGAAAGGCCCTGCTGGTGATTCTCGTGCTCAAAGTCATAGGCAGACGGATCGTACGAATTTAGATCCTCCTCAAAATTGGGTTGATAATGGTAGCCCAATTTGGCACAGCAGCAGTTTGCCAACCACAAAACAATCTATGATGGTTGAAAAATGTAACATTTATCCAGTTCAATATAGATCTATCACATATTTCTTACCACAACTCGCAGCATGATCCAAGCTCAATAGCAGGTGGAGCACATTTGTCAAAATAAACACGAAGCTCTGGCCATTATATAATGTTCAGCCATTGGTGAAGCCAGACCATGTAGCTCGGACCAAATATGGTCTAACCAATGTGTTCCTATATGGAAAACGGGGTCAGTTTATGTCAAGGCACAACTCTTACAACATATTAGCCAAAAATTCACAACACAACGCAGAAAGTCAATAGGAAAAAAATTGCGAACTTTTTTGCACACCCTTTGTTTTGTTTTTGGTATTAATATTATTTATGGTTTCACTAAAAAGTTGGCGAAATGTGTTGACCAATTCATATGAAGTCTGCTGAATCTAATAATGATAAATTTTCGATTGAATTGGATGTATATGTACTTACTCAACTGGAATATTGTAGCTTCAGTATTTTGTTCTAACTTGTATTGTAGAATCTACCCGAAATATCCTAACTACTGTGCGAGGAAACTCTTTGCTAAATATATGATTCATTAGATTTTTTGGTCCATTGAAAAATCGGTAAAATACAAATATATGAAGCGATCTATTTCTTGTGCTTTCCACTTGTACAGTCACTTTCCAAAAAAGAAAGCAATGACGGAAATCGGTAAAATACAAATATATGAAGCGATCTATTTCTTGTGCTTTCCACTTGTACAGTCACTTTCCAAAAAAGAAAGCAATGACGGAAAATTACATATAAGAGTGGTTTTTATTTTCAATACTTAGAAATTGCTACTTAAATCTTAACAAAAGATGTTACAACAACTTATAAAACATGCAGTTGTGAATGGGGGTTGGGAATCAGTCAGGGGCCAAGAATATCTCCAATCGAATGATTTGTGCTTAGACGCGACGGAAAACCGAAGCTGGAAGGTAGGAGTTTTCGGGAGAGCTTGGAGCGGGGGCGGGTTGTGCAGCTGGCTGCGAAGCAAAATTGAGCACTGGAGCCACTCCGCCACTCTTGTACGAGGAAGCCCCACCAAGCTGATCGTATTGTCCCTGAATAGCACGTTGGGCATTGGCAGCGTCTTCAGGAGTGCGATACTTCACAAAATGAACCTCGGGCTTATTGCTGTTGTTGTTGTTGATGTTGTTCAACTTGTTGGCCAGGTCTCCGATGTCGGCTTGTTTGTTTAGAACGTAGATGGCAGTCTCCTGCTGGGAAGCCTGTTTGGCCAATTGCAGGGCGGCGTTCTCTAGACCACGGTTTTCGGGTCCTTTGATGAAAATTACTCTGAGACCCTTACGCAGATTGTTGGATAGCTGCTGTGATGCAGCGGGCTCATCAAAAGCGCCTTCATCAGCGGTATATGTGAAGAATTCCTTTTGAAGCTCAACTGGTGCAGAATAGGCGGGCTGGTCCGCCGATGGAGCGGCAACGCCTGGCTCGGACGGATTAGCATTGGAACCGCTGTCGGATGGAAGTGAGCTGTAGGAAGGTGCATTATTGGTAGCAGCTCCTGGTGCGAACGATAAACCCGCATTTGAGTGCTGGACGGGCTGATAGTTGTAGCCCAGCTTATCGGCGCTGCAAGCAACGGCCAAAAGACAGAGGGTCTGGAAAGTAAGAGGAATAGGAATCGTTTTAAATCCGTAAAGGCATAGCTTCTTGGGGTCACTCACAATCAAGAGACGCATTTTGTGTAAATTTATCTTTGGGATGGAGCTGATGCTTGCTGTTAACAGTTCGCTGTGTAATCTTCAAGTCTGCTGATATCATCGACACCCACGCTTTTTATGCTCAGCAGAAATCCCAAAGCCGTCGTCTTCAGTCGTCTGCAGTCGCCATTCCCAGGTCAAAGTTTGCACCAGATTTCGCGATCGCACCTCACTTCTCAGCTAATCTGCATTTCGCGCGCTCGCTTCAGTCTATTTTGCATAATTGGATGCGAGCATAATTTTTTATTGATTTTCTAATAAACTTTATAAGCACTGTTTAGTTGTTGTTTATGTAAATTTTGGAGCTGCTGCTCGCTGCTCGACGTCACTGCCGTTGTCGCCATCGTAGTGGGTGCTCTTGAACACATCGTCAGTTAGTTCGATCACTTCGTTCATGCTGCGCTGTTATTGACCATTGATGCCGGTCGGCGGTCAGCGATCGGCGCTCGGCTGTTATCACTCATACATTATCGACGGTTCCGTCTTTACGGTACAAGCAGCGATCTTGCCGTAAATTTCCGTGCTAATAGTTTGTCTAACCTTTTACTTCATGCAGATTAACATTTTAATTATGAAAGCAAATTTGTCGATTGTTTCGTATCTTTTGTTGACGACGATATGTTAGTACGATACTTATACTTTTATTTATTCAACGTGGCGCCAGCGTGGAATTTTTATAACAACCACAAACCTGACTCTACTTTACGCTGCTTGTGAGATAAGAACAGGTTGCTGCAATTTTTCCCGCAAGTTATGGCTCAGCTGGTGGCACTCATTGATGTGACATCTTCATTTCATCATTTTTGACTCTACTTTAACAATTGGTTAACATGCCGCTAATCATGGGCCACATGGGCCTAATCTTAAGAAAAACAATACTGTTTATATTTGGTTAACATTAGAATTTATATTTCTCAATTTCTGATAAGCCGTCGATTACATAGTAGTCAACAATAAAGATGCTTAATGCTATAAGCTTAAACATCCATCGAAAAACTTTATACTCCAATCACTTTTTAACGGATGCGCAGACGACGCAGAATTGACGAAGGCAGGTAGGAGTTCTCAGGCACACGAGCATTTGGCTGACGGATAGCCGATTGGGAGGCGAAGTTTAGGGCATTGGCCACACCTCCGTTAATCTGCTGCGAGGAACCACCCAGGGAGTCATATTGACTTTGGATCGCACGCTGGGCATTGGCCGCATCCTCGGGAGTGCGGTATTTCACAAAGTGGACCTCTGGCCTGTTGTTGTTGTTGTTACGAATGGCATTCAATTTGTTGGCCAGATCGCCGATATCAGCCTGCTTATTAAGCACGTAGATAGCGGTCTGTTGTTCGGCAGCCTGCTTAGCCAGAGCCAACGCGGCATTCTCCAGGCCGCGGTTCTCTGGTCCCTTGATGAAGACAACACGGAGTCCCCTGTTCAGGGAGCTGGAGACCTTTTCCAAAGCCTGTGGCTCATCAAAGTCATCCTCATTGGCACTGAAGGTGTAGAACTCCTTGTTCAGATCGGACACAGGCGCAGGATTGTAGGAGACAGGAGCATCGAGTCCGCCAATGCTTCCAGCACCCAGACCGCCAATGCTTCCAGCACCCAGACCGCCAATGTTACCACCACCCAGACCGCCAGTGCTACCACCCAGACTGCCATAGTTTCCACCTAGGTCGCCACCCAAATCGATGCCATCAAGTCCGCCGCCACTACCAATGTTCAAGCTGCCGCCGCCGCTGCTGCCTCCAAGGCTGCCGCCCGGAGCAAATGATAGTCCCGAGTTAGAGTGTCCCACGGGTCTATAGTTGTAGCCTAGCTTGTCCGCACAAGCCACGGCCACCAAACACAAAACGATAAAAGCGCGCATCTTGGGTTCCACTTAGAGCTCTCAACTAAGAATGATATCAAATCCCGCCACCTTGCCATTTTTATACCTACTTCTAGGTCCAGGTGTGTCAATCAGAACCGTTGTGACAACCATAGTCGGCATCAAGATATCGACCCGTATTCACACGGCATAGCATGTTTTTTTTTTGTGTATGCTGTACCCGGCCGGACTTTAACCCGTTTCGGGGCGGCTTCTTTACGCTGTAGACCAGGTATGCGGCGCTGATTAAAATTTGATGAACTTGCACGTTACAAACAAACAAAATTTTTATGCAAATAACTGACGCAGCCGCATACGATTCCGGCCGCCTAGGCAGCTCCAAATTGTTTGACTGTTCGGTAGCCAAGTTCTTTTGTTCGTTCATTTTGTTATGCTAATCAAAAGCCGCCGTCGACGCGTCGATTGAAAAGTGAAGCTCTAGTCACATCTTTTTGGGTTAATTTTCGAGATTAATAATTTTAAATGGGCCGTTGCCACAGATCTCTTCGGTCATTGTTTGCGGCTGCGACATGCAATTTGTCAACGCTTTCAAAACTGCGTAGGCGCGCCCCATCAGCAAGCCATAAAGATATAAATACTCGTATATAAACAGCACGCATAGCTGAGCCGGTAATGACCAAAAGAACTTGTTTTAATAAGACTGATTTGCAATTTTCATTGCGACGAGCCGCCACAGCGCCGGAGACACTATTTGTACCTGTTGAACCTGTTTTCCGGCGTGGGTTTGTACATGACAACAATTTTCACGCCGGCGTCGAATTTCTTGGGCGCGACCATTAGCACGCAAAATATGTTGGCCATAAATTTATAGATCCGCAAATTATTTAGGAATTCAAAGATTATTTAGTAATTTTATTTCAATCACAACAACAAAAAAGCAATAACAATCGAACATACGTTCATAATTCGTAAAGTTATTCAGTCTTATAGACGGAACAATCGCAGCACGGAGGCGGGCAAATAGGAGCTGTCTGGGGTGGAACTTGGTGGTGGGATGTACGATGATTGTGCGGACGTGGCTTCAGCTGCTGGAGCTGAAATTGGAGCGGCACCACCAATCGGTGCAGAGCCACTGGGAGCAGGGGCAGCTATAGGAGCGGGGGCACTAGACGCAAAGTTGAGGGAGGGAGCAACGCCACCATCGTGATGTGATGAGGCGCCGCCCAACTGATCGTATTGTCCCTGAATGGCACGTTGGGCATTGGCGGCATCCTCAGGAGTGCGGTATTTGACGAAGTGCACCTCCGGTTTGTTGCTCTTGTTGTCGTTAATGCTGTTCAGCTTGTTGGCCAGATCTCCGATGTCGGCCTGTTTGCTCAGCACGTAGATGGCGGTTTCCTGTTGGGAAGCCTGCTTGGCCAGTTGTAGGGCACCCTGTTCCAAGCCACTCGAAGCCGGACCCTTGATGAAGATGACGCGCAGACTCTTCTTCAAATCGCTGACGGATTGTTGGGCTGCATCGGGCTCATCGAAAGCGCTTTCATCAGCGGTATATGTGAAGAATTCCTTTTGAAGTTCGGGTTGTGCAGCATATTCGGGCTCAGCAGCGCTGGGTGCAGCGATAGGGGCGGATGGTTGGTATCTGGACGCCTCAGCGGTGTTGCCTGGTTGGTATCTGGACGGCTCTGCGATGTTGCCAGGTCGGTAACTGGATGCCTCGGCGATATTGCTTGGTTGGTATCTGGATGCCTCAGCGGTGTTGCCTGCAGGCTCAGATATAGCCGGTGCTGGATTGGATGCTGCTCCTCCAGGCAAAAATGAAAGACCGGAGCCCGAATGACCGACTGGCTGATAATTGTACCCCAACTTATCGGCGCTGGCCGCAGCCACGAGGCAGAATAGTGCGGTGAGAAGGCGCATGGCAAATGCTTGTTTGCAGAATAATGTGATTATTATGCTCCTACAGCGGCTTTTATACCCAATCGCTATATCTGTGCACCATTTACAGTTGTCAAATATCTAATAAATGCAAAAATAATGCATAAATTGGTCAAATTGTGGAGCCACCGAGTGAATTATGCGCAAAACGCGAGCAGCCCGCATAAATATGCAATAGAATTTCTTGATGGCCGTCATCCAAACTCCATTCGCTTTGCTGCATTCTGCTTAAAAGAAGCCATTTGTCCATATGTTTGCCAAGAAGTTGCCTTAGCTGTCTATTAAAAGCTATATCGAAATTAATTTGCTACATTTATAACTTTTTTCGCGTTTCTGTTCTTCATCATTTGCCTTTTTGCCTCTTATTTGGCATACGAGTATTAACCTTGCATACGACGATACACCAGCGACCAAATGAATAAATAAGTGAATAAAAAAAAATTCGAATGAGAAAATAAAAATATAAAATCAAATATTTTTATAAAAATCAACAAATTAATATTTTGGAAGCTGAGATTTCAATAAAAAATAAAGTTATTGCCTATCATAACCCAATTGTTGTTGCGTATTATGAAGTTCTTGAAACATCTCGTCATCATTTCGAAACAGTTGCATTGACAATAATATTAGCTAATAACAAGACTCTTATGAAAATAAAATAAAAATACAAATTCAAAAGCTTTATGAAGTAGCGATACATACCCGTAGAGACATCTACTTCTTTGGATTTGGTTTTCCATGCGTAGAGTTTATATTCGAATGGCCATCAGTGCAATACTTCCAATTGAAATTACGATTTTTTGGAGACTGTGATTGTGTTATCAACTGTGGCTTCTGGTCAAATATGACTCGCAGCATCGTTAACCCGATTCGGGCCAATTTTATTGACGGTTTCTCATATATGGCTGCCTGGCTGGGTACAAAAGGCGAATTGGAAAAAGTGTTGTACATTCAACACCCTCGCCAAAAAGTCAGCGGGGTACAAGATATCGCCCAAAATCGCTCGAAAAGCAAACAAAACGTTCGAAGCGTCTTTTCACATGCAAATTAGTCGTGCCGAGCCACATTATGGCTGCAATCCATTGTACCAAAATATATACATTTTTTTTTTAGCTACAGATATGCAAAATTTGTATTTCTTGTTGTTGCTGTTTAGCTTTGTTTGGCCGTTTATTGTTCGCTTTATGCAAATGTTGCGGGTGGATCGACCTTCCGTCGTGTTTGATCGGCGCGGCGCCGGAAGTGCCAAGTCTTTCAAAGGCGGCGATATCTGCGCCGAGTTCATCGCTAAAAATAGAAAAGATTTTAGAAAGATTAGCGGGCAATGGTTGTGTCTTAGCTGCATTTGCCGCCATGTCAGCAGCAAATGAATTAATTTGATAATTGGACGCTTAGTGCCAAATGACTAAGCTCAATAATAAATAACTTGGCGCCGCTCATTTAGCAATCAAATCAACGACAAGCCATCAATTCAACGCTAAGAAGAAGGAGTTCTGACGGTTGCCTAATTAGCATTTCCTCTGAGAAAGGACTGGTTGCTTATTTTAAATAGCTGCTGTAAACTATTTGTGAACTATTTTGGCGCATTTGCATAACAAACTCCATAAAAAGTTCAATTTGGAAAGTATGTATGCAAAAACTTGCATTCTGCTGCCGCTTAGCGACGCATCCATCCAATAAACGAAGAGCCAAGAGCGATGACGGCGGCATCGCACAAAGGCGCACTTAAGCTTTTTATTTATGCATTTTTAAGGCAAATGCGAGCAGCTCATAATTCATAGCGAGCGCTACTTTTTGTATTGCATATCGCTTTGTGCCTGCGATCTACTTAACTTTGCAAATTTGACTAATTGATACAAATGCAGAAGCGTGCCAGTCGATTGCATTTATAAACTGAACAGTCCGCTCGAAAAGGCAGTTACAAATCACAGTTTCAATCAACAACTTATCGCGAAAAATGCGTACCTTTGTCGTCCTCCTTCTCGTTGCCTTGGCCAACGCCGACAAGCTTGGCTATAACTACCAGCCAGTGCCGCAGAGTTACAGTCCCGGTGGAGCAGCTACTAATCCAGCACCAGCATATTCTCCTGAGTCATCTGGACCGCAATCTTTTAGCCCCAATGCGCCAGCCGCCGCACCTTCATCCTCCAACCCCTCGTACGCCCCACAGGCCGAACTTCAAAAGGAATTCTTCACATATACCGCTGATGAAAGCGCTTTCGATGAGCCCGATGCAGCCCAACAATCCGCCAACGATTTGAAGAAGAGTCTGCGCGTCATCTTCATCAAGGGTCCCGATTCGAGTGGCCTGGAACAGGGTGCTCTACAATTGGCCAAGCAGGCTTCCCAACAGGAAACCGCCATCTATGTGCTGAGCAAACAGGCCGACATCGGAGATCTGGCCAACAAGCTGAACAACATTAACGACAACAAGAGCAACAAACCAGAGGTGCACTTCGTCAAGTACCGCACTCCTGAGGATGCCGCCAATGCCCAACGTGCCATTCAGGGCCAATACGATCAGTTGGGTGGCGCTTCATCCCATCATGATGGCGGTGTTGCACCATCCCTGAATTTCGCCTCCAAGGGACCTGCACCAGCACTCCCGGCAGCACCTGCTCCTGGTCCCAGCTATTTGCCCACCAACATATTCCGTCGCCTGCGTTTCTAGAAGTTAACCCTGACTCGGACTGCGATTTCTCGTTAATTAGTTTTCGTGTTGTTTAATTGTACTACGAAATTTATGATATGAAACATTATAATACAAAGTATACGTATAAATCTATTTGCTTTTGATACCTTGTTTCGGAATGCTAAAAGGGTGGCTGCCAAGCCTTTGTTACTATAATCTATATAGACATGTTCATTTCTCCGAACTTCTGTCTGTTCTTGGGGACAGCAAACATGCTGTATAGACCTTTCTTATCCATAGAGAGAGCTTTATTTATGTGTTTATCAAATTTGGGTTCTAAAGAATCATAAAAATCGACGCATTTATTATATATCAGTCATAGCAGTCGTACATATGTACATATTTACATATTTATGAATTTTGTTTAGTGCCTCTTCAGATTCTAAAGTTATATGCAAATTGTGTTCCAAAGAATCTAGCGCCCCCTGGTGGCGCGATCTATATGTCGACTGGTGCGTTAGAATCTGCTATCTTTATCGATTGTCCAGTGAGAATTTCATGACATTTCATCGATTAGAAGTGAAGTTATTGCGTTTTAAGTGCCAGTATATTTGGGTTATCGGTGCGAAAATGAGCTTCGAACAAAGAGCCAACATTGAATTTTGTTTTAAAATTGGTAAAACTTTTACCGAAATGTTTCAATTGATGGAACAAGTTTATGGCTACAATGAGAAAAATGATATAGGAATTCAAGAGTTCTACCTTATGCCCTAAGCATTTGGGTTTCGTTGATTTTAGAATCCATTGAAAATCCCCATGAAGTGCCAAGGGCTTGGCAGACTTTGTTTGAATGCAAATTATGTGCAAATCTGCCCGCACCGATAGTGTCATGAAAAACCGACGGCACAAATTAAAAAAGCAAACAAAATAAAAACAATTAAACGAAGCTCTTGTATATCGTCCAAATTGTGGACAGCGTTTGCGAAATTTTAAAGCGCCAATGAGGTAGGCATTTCCCTCATTTTATGGGTCGGAGCTTACATTTCAAAATTGGATCGATTCAATGATCGCTGATTTGAAAATAAATCCAAAAATTAAATTAGTTTCACAAACCTAACAAACCAAATAACATTGCCTATTGCATAGATGTTGTCAATATCAACTGAATGTTTCGAAATTGGATGCCCTTTATCTAGTTGCATCAGAAAACCAGAATAATTTATAAGAATACCCGTAGCTATTTCAAATTATTAGTCCTAATTGTATATCATATCTTCCAACAAATTTTGAATTTCCTTGATTATTCGTAAATTTTGACAAATAATTTCTTGTGTATCATTTAGAATTCACAACGTCGCATGCATGGCAAATGTTCAATCGAGACATGTCCAGGTTATTTGATGAATCAGGGGATTATTTGGTTGGAACTGAAAGTGCTTTGACCGAGATTTTGGGTCTTTTTGGCAAACCTACGCGGCCGATTGCTGTTCTTTGCTCTAAAGTTAAAATTTTATAATGATACCATTTCGATGGTCAGTAATTTAAAAATAGAAAAAATAAAACGTTAAGCTATAAATAAATAGATTTATTTCTTACTGGTTTCAATTGTCAAACAAAAATGTTGTTAACTTCAGATTAAAGCACACCTTTTTTGATAGCTTTCAACCAATTTGCTGAATTTCGCCACTTTTAGAAACCAGTTTAATAGTTCTACCGCATTCTCTCAAACTTATTCTAGTTGGCGGCATCATAGTTTGATAGCCGACCAAATCAGAAATATCACTCTGTACCGGTCCACGAATTCCCGACTGCATTTGGACAATTAATGTGCCTGGCTCACGATAGTTTGCATAATCGATACATAAGCGCAGCACTTTGTATACGAAACTCGTTGAATTATGAACCCGTTGACAACCAATCTGGGCTATTGTTCTGAGCCTGGTCTCTTTAGTTTTCGGATGTATAAAAGGTGCGCGTTGCAACTTCAGGATTCAATCTTGATCTTTAGTTGATCAGCACGTACAACAAACGCCGCTAAGTAAAGAAATGATGCGTTTCCTCGTAGTTCTTGGCCTGATTGGAGCCGCCTGTGCTCAATACAACTACAATCCTAGTTCAGGGGGGCGCTTCGATGGCTCCTCGACTAATGTTTCCCCATCCTACTTGGCACCGGGCTCAGGCGCAGCCGCATCCAACAATCAGCCGTCGTTCAGCTCACCTAATGGGGCTGAGTCTTACAACTCACCTGCTGGGGCTGAGTCCTACAATTCACCTGCAGGGGCTGAGTCCTACAACTCACCGTCTTATTCCTCACCTGCTGGATATGATAAGGAGTACTACACATTCACAGGCGAAGATGACGATGACTACGATCCTGCTGCTTCAGACCAAGTGAATAGTAGCTTGAAGAAGAATCTGCGCGTCATCTTCATTAAGAGTCCTGAGAACCGTGGCCTGGAGAACGCCGCCCTGGGACTGGCTAGGCAGGCTGCCGAACAAAAAACAGCGATCTATGTCCTGAACAAGCAAGCTGATATTGGTGATTTAGCCAACAAGGTGAATGCCATTCGCAACAATAATAACAACCGTCCAGAGGTGCACTTCGTCAAGTACCGCACCCCTCAAGATGCGGCTAATGCCCAGCATGCTATTCAAAGCCAGTATGACCAGCTCGGAGGCAGCTCACAGTCCTACAATGGTGGCATTGCACCTTCCATCAACTACGCTTCCCGTTCGCCGGTGATTCCAGCTAATCACGGTAGTTACGGCGCAGCCAGCGCCCCAAGCAGCTCCTACTTGCCAGCCAACATTCTTCGACGCCTACGCTTGCGCACTTAAAGACGCAACCACCAGCACCACTGCCGCCGAAGCTATATGGATGTGGACATGTAAATTTTTCGCCATTGTTGGTGGACTGACTATTGCTTCTTTAACATTTTTATTCGAATAAACAATAAAAGACGACAAACACAAATACAAGTATACTCGTAAACCGAATTCGCACCGAACCATTTTCCATATGCCTGTGTGTGTGTGGTTGACAGCATTGTGCGTGGCTATTGCATTTTTATGCTCATGTTTTTGATTTTTATCGCTTTTCCTTATAATAACATTTATGCAAAACTCAGCTGTGTGAATTGAAAGACGACACAAAAGCCGATCGCCGTTTATTTTGTAGGCGGAAAAAACGTTTGCGGCATCATCATCGCTTTGTCTTCGCCGAGAAGTTGCGCTGACAGCCTCGAAGACAGATTTGTATAAATAATAACGAACGCCAGAGCAATGAACAGAAACAAAACGTACTTCAGACTAACAGAACCACATCAACTCAATCAAAGATGCGCGCCTTCATTGTAAGCCTGACACCAATCGCAGCCAAAGGATTAACTAACGGATTACTCTTTCAAAATATTTAGGTTATGTGCCTGGTCTCCGTCGCCTTTGCCGATAAGCTGGGCTACAACTATCAACCTGTCGCACACTCCAGCAATGGATTGTCTTTCGCTCCAGGCGGCGACAGTTTCTCTTCTGGAAACTTGGGCGGCCTAGGTGGAGGCAGTCTAGGTGGAGGCAGTCTAGGTGGAGGCAGCCTAGGTGGCGGCAGTCTAGGTGGAGGCAGCCTAGGTGGCGGCAGTCTAGCTGGCGGCAGTCTCGGTGGTCTTGGCAGCGGTCTTGGCGGCGGTCTTGGCAGCGGTCTTGGCAGCGGTCTTGGCAGCGGTCTTGGTAGTGGACTGGGTGGTGGCTTGGGAAGCGGCCTGAGTGGAGGTCTAGGTAACTTGGGAGGCCTCGACTCTGGCAACCTGGGTGGCTCATCTCTCGAAGCCCCAGTTACCTATAATGCCCCAGCTCCAGCTGCTGAACTACAGAAAGAATTCTTCACCTACACCGCTAACGAACAGGACTTTGATGAGCCTCAAGCTTTGGAAAAGGTGTCCAGCTCTCTGAACAAGGGTCTGCGTGTTGTCTTCATCAAGGGACCCGAAAACCGTGGCCTGGAGAATGCTGCTCTGGCTCTGGCCAAACAGGCTGCCCAGCAGGAGACCGCCATCTATGTGCTAAACAAACAGGCTGATATTGGTGATCTGGCCAACAGACTAAATGCTATTCGCAGCAACAACAATAACAAGCCCGAGGTCCACTTCGTCAAGTACCGCACCCCTGAGGATGCTGCCAATGCTCAGCGCGCAATCCAGTCCCAATACGATCAATTGGGTGGCTCCTCTCAGGCACATGATGGTGGTGTTGCTTCATCCCTGAACTTTGCTTCACAAGGACCAGTCCGTCAGGCTACTGCAAGGACCCCCGAAAACTCCTACCTCCCAACTTCGATCTTCCGTCGTATCTAAGAAGATACTGTGTCAAGGTTACCTACAAATAATACAGCTGTTGTGAACACTTTGTTGAATAATTCTATAAATTTATAAATTAAAAATAAACACATAATATTTGTTATTCGAGATATAAATCTTCTTTTTTTACCAAATTAATTAATAACGTTTATTCAAAGAATATTCATCAAGAGAATATTTTATTTCGCATTTATTTAAGTAGAACGTTAAAGCCGATTGAGCTTGGTTCTTATATACCCTTTAGTGCGACGTTTGACTTTCTGGCATATCCTTGCACCATTCGGATAGAGAGAGGTATATAAGAGAGGTATATATTAATATTACTTCCAAATGCAGATAATTGAAGCAAAATGAAAATGTGAAATTACAAAATAAATAGTGAGACCTTCTTTTAAACACGTAGATTACAGTAGCATTTTTGCAAAATACAATTGGGGCTCAAAGAAAATAACTGTTGCAATTTTACGCAATTGTCTCTGTACATTTCGTGTTGTGGTAATAGCATGTTTGACTAGAATACTTGTAGGTTACGTTAGGTTGTAATGGCTTTAGTGATGGTGCGCATTCACCCCATTGTAATACCATATAATCTCTAAAGATGTTGGACTACATTTACCACCCGGTGGTATTTATAAATTTTACAATGTTCACCAACTCAACCGGGAGGTGCTTTAAGAATGGTTTCGCTGGGGTAACGAACCTGCGCCTGCTCTGTGTTGGACAGTGGTAGTTGAGGTGCTCCACGCATTCTTCCTCCTCTTCCTCTCTGCGGCTTCCCTCGGCGTTTCTGCCAACCGGCATGAAGACGTCTGTTCAGCTGTTTCAGCTTTATTAGCTTGGGAGTCCTTTGGATGTGAAGGAATGGCCAGGTGAGCATCTGCCAGATAAACAGTGAATAATACCCGATATAAGAGATTTGTTAAGAGCATGTCTGCAAGTGAGAAAACAATCCATACTTAAGCTTACATCAATGTGTGCGCTTGATATGACAGCTTTTAGTAAAATCTGGGACTATGATCATTTTACCATTGACCAAAATTGTAGTGATTGGACTAGTCTTGATCGCTCATTACTTCTTTTAAAATACTTATGGCAATAAGAGTTGAATATGTACTTCCGTCTTTGGTAGAAAAGTGACGACAACTCATGTCCGTCACTAAGTGAACCCATTAGTTGGTTCTGTGCGGTATCATAAATAAATTTACAAACGTTTTTTTTTGACACATACGTACTATCTGATTCATATATGACCAGCACGAGAGCAGATTGCAGATGTCCTACACAAAACAAGTTCATAGCCTTGCCGTAGAGATTGAGAAACTATTTATTTCATATAATACATTTAATTATGACCTATCTAGATGGCTAAGATATGCATATAAGCGCATTTCAATGTGCTCACGACATATTAATTTTTTAATATTATATTAATTCTTGTAAAATTATTGAATCAAAAACTTGAAAATTTGAATAACCTAAAACAATCGACTAAAGCCGATGCCCATTGAGACGCGACAAAAATTCCACAGCGACCATAAAATTGAAGAGGCAAAGAGCTTTATAGGCGGCAAAACATGGCGCATCAACGCGATTTCTATGCAAGCGACGGCGCCGCGGCGATAGTATTGTTTTTATCAGCCTCGAAGATGGATTTGTATAAATATTAAAGATAGACCTAGACATGGGACAGAAGCAAATCGCACTTCGAAGTAAAAGAACCAAAGAATCAAGAGAAGAAACCAAGATGCGCGCATTCATTGTGAGTATAAAGGATTCTTCAATAGCAATGGATATTGAGGATTTAATGACGACTCTTCGCCTTTCAGGTTATGTGTCTATTGGCCGTCGCCAGCGCTGATAAACTGGGCTACAACTACAGGCCTGTGGGTCATTCCAACTCTGGATTGTCGTTCGCACCAGGCAGCAACAGCGGTAGCTTGGGAGGACTAGGTGGCAGCATCGGCAGTCTTGGTGGAAGCCTAGGTGGTTTGGGCGGTGGTGCTGATTTAGATGGAGGATTGGGTAGCGCCAGCAGCACCCTTGGTAGCTCTGGACTGAGCGGATTAGGCGGATTGGGAGGCTCTGGTCTGGGTATTGGCAATCTAGGAGGATCCAGCGGATCCCTGGATGCCCCTGTCAACTATGATGCCCCTGCCCCAACTGCTGAATTGGAGAAGGAGTTCTTCACGTATACCGCCAACGAGCAGGACTTTGATGAGCCCCAGGCTTTGGAAAGGGTTTCAGGATCTGTGAACAAGGGCCTGCGTGTGGTCTTCATCAAGGGACCCGAAAACCGTGGCCTGGAGAACGCTGCTCTGGCTCTGGCCAAACAGGCTGCCCAGCAGGAGACCGCCATCTATGTGCTCAACAAACAGGCTGATATTGGTGATCTGGCCAACAGACTGAATGCTATTCGCAGCAACAACAATAACAAGCCCGAGGTCCACTTCGTCAAGTACCGCACCCCTGAGGATGCTGCCAATGCTCAGCGCGCCATCCAGTCCCAATACGATCAATTGGGTGGCTCCAGCCGTGCTGCCGATGGTGGTGTTGCTCCTGTTCTGAACTTTGCTTCTGCAACTGCTGCTCGCCCGATCAATGCTAAAAACCCCGACAACTCGTACCTGCCCAGCTCTGTCTTCCGTCGTTACCGTTTCTAAATCGCATATAAGACGATTTTTAGTTTGTAAATGCTTTAACGAATATGATATCTTGTTGAATTGTTGATTATTACCTAATTACGTAAACGAACCTGAAATTAAAATTTCAAACACGAAAATCCAAACAATAGTGTTTAAATTTCTTGAGGAACTTTTTTAATGGCTTTGCTCCATAACATAGCAGACCAAAAATTATGCATACGAATATACTTGTAGTATGTATGAGTAAGTAGTCTGACTGTCCGAAGTAGTTAAGTTTGTGGACAAGGTTTTTCACAAATAGACCCATGATTCATGCACTTTTGCATTTCCATCTAATTTCCACGTCAATGCGCGAAACCAATTAACTGGTGACAGCAGCATCGTTTAAACATTTAAAAATTGTAATCAAGATTAGTTGCACCCACGCCAGATTTAAGATCAGCTTTCCTTAAAAGCCAAATAGGTCACTATTAAACAATAGTCGCTCAAGGTCGTTTTACTCTTATTAACAGTTAGATGACCTGCTTTTCGTTGTAGTCTTTGTGCCACGCTCAATTAGAAAGGAATTTCAAGTGCAACTCGCAAACCTCGCTATTAAGACATACAAACGCTTTGTCTAGACCTGATTAGCCGAAACAACAAACATCTAATCATTAATTTTATTGAGCTGACGATCACTTTTTTGTTGAAATCATTAACAAATAAACGATTCTGAATATTCAAAGTGGCGGAAAAAAAACACATATAACAAAAAAGTAAACTAAGTTGCGTGAGTTTTATGCATAAATTATACACCAATTATGGGTGAATCACGACGAATCGAGCGATCAGAGCTCGGAAAACGAGCGTAGTTGCTGTCGGTCGTTATTGCCGGATTGGTTAGAGCGTCGGCACGATTGATGCTGCTCAAAACAATGTGTTAAATGTGTTAAGAGCGAAATTATGTTAACAGATTAACAGCATTCCAAAAACTCGCCAACCAATAGCCAATGGCCAACATCTTCTGCCCGCATCGACTTCAGTGACGAGTGGTGAGTGGTTAGATCGAAACAGGTACCGGCGAAGCACGGTCTTCCGAGCGGAGACTGATCTAATTATAGCAACGTTATATCGCGGTATATAAGCTTTGTAAATGAAGATACTCGATTCATTCTATTAGAACAACCTGAGTGTGACGTTTCCCCCCACCGAGAAAGCAAAAGAAAGGATGCATGCCTTTATTGTTTTGTGTTTAGTAGCGGCCGTCAGTGCTGGTCGTTTGGGTTATAATTATAATCCAGGTAGCATCGGCAATACTGGCATCATTGGGGGTGGCAGCATTGGTAGCACTGGCAGCATTGGTAGCGTTGGTAGTGTTGGCAGCATTGGTGGTGGTAGCATTGGCAGTGGTGGACTGGCTGGTCCAGTCAGCTACAATGCCGCACCACAAGTCCAATACGATAAGGAGTTCTATTCATTCTATGCCAACGATGATGACTTCGATGACAAAGACGCTGCTCGTAAGATCGCTGCCTCGCTAAAGAAGAGCGTCCGTGTGATCTTCATCAAATCACCCGAGAATCGTGGCTATGAGAACGCAGTTCTGGCTTTGGCCAAGCAGGCTGCCGAGCAACAGACGGCCATCTATGTGTTGCACAAACAGCACGACCTTAACGAGCTGGCCAACAAATTCAATGCCGTTCGCAATAATAATAGCAAGAAGCCCGAGGTGCACTTCGTCAAGTACCGCACCCCTGAGGACGCTGCCAATGCGCAACGCGCCATTCAAAGCCAGTACGACTCATTGGGCGGCACATCCCAGTCGATTAATGGTGGTGTGGCCAATGCACTGAACTTTGCCTCTCGTTCCCCGGCCCCAGTGCAAATCGGTCAACCCCAGGTGCCCGACGCCAATTACTTACCCGCCTCGATTTTGCGACGTCTCCGTCTGCGCCATTAAAAGCGATTTGCGAGCGATGGAATAGATTTGCGAGATTTGGTAAAATGTTAATTTTCAATTGTTTTCGAATAAAAGTTAATTGTTTTTAATTTGAATGTAATTAGTATTTTATAAATAAAAGCACTAGAAGAATGAAAACTTGCTGTGGAGACCAAATTATTTATTTTGTCTATCAATGCTTATATTCTATAGTTGCAAGTCGTATTTTTCTTCATTTGCAATATAGGAAATAACTTTAAGCTGATAGCGAAAGAAAGGTATAAAATGTTTCAGTAATTCTCTGCAATTACTTATTTAACTTGGTCTAAGCTGCTAAGCGACATAAGCTGACATGAAAGTCTCGTGTCAGAATGTTTTTACCTTGATAAACTCCGAAACGACTGATCTAATTTGGCGTGATATAAAAGATTTTTAATTTAATTATTTATCGATTGGAAACTTGAATAGGGAATTTAGTATTTTTCAAAAATATTAATTTGTATTATTTCATCAATATGTTATGCATATGTACGTCAAAAAAAAGACTGCCAAAAATTGTGAGCAAAAATTAGAAAATAGAATGATTTGTTCACAAGAAGAAAGTTATTTAATAAATATTTGCAGGAATCTTTCAAATGTGCGAAGCTTAAAATTGATTTATACAAAAAGAGATAAAAACGTCTATTCATGTTTATACCCTGTACCCGTAGGGTAAAAAGGGTATATTAGGTTTGTGCAAAGTATGTAGCATGCAGAAGGAAGCATCTCCGACCCCATAAAGAATACATATTCTTCATCAGCTTGAAATCGATCTAGGCACATTTCAAAAAGTATTGGGACAGCAGATGAATGTTGATTGATTTAGGCCAATGTCTACCGAATGCTACAAAATCATGTACCAAATTGTTGCGGCATAAATATACAAGGTGTGTTCCAAAGTAAACAGGACAAAAAAAAAACGGAACAAATGGTTTTTTCGGCAAAATCAATTTATTTTATTCAAAGTAGTCTCCTTCTGCTTCAATACAGCTTTTTGCACGATCCAAAAGCATGTCGAACGAGTGTTTTAGCTCGTTGGCCGGTATGGCCGCTAGTATGCCGGTGCAAGCCTTTTGAATGGCCTCTACATCTGCATAACGCTTTCTTTTCATGGGCAAATGCATTTTTCCGAAAACGAAGAAGTCGCACGGTGCCGGATCAGGTGAATACGGCGAGTGGTTAATGGTTAAAATGTGATTTTTGGTCAAATAATCGGTCACAGGCGTCTATCGTCTGAGCAATTTTTGGTCGTCAGTCAATTTGTGCGGAACAAATATAATATGCGATAAATCGATGGAGATGTTCAATTCCATTTCCATCAATTTCAATGATGATTTCGGCTGATTTTTGATGAATTCACGCACAGTTTCGATGGAATTTTCGGTGATCACGAATTTTGATTGGCCCACATGTTGAACGTCATTTATGTCCTCACGACCATGCTATTTTATTCAAAATAGTCTCCTTCTGCTTCAATACAGCTTTTTGCACGATCCAAAAGCATGTCGAACGAGTGTTTTAGCTCGTTGGCCGGTATGGCCGGCAGTATGCCGGTGCAAGCCTTTTGAATGGCCTCTACGTCTGCATAACGCTTTCTTTTCATGGGCAAATGCATTTTTCCGAAAACGAAGAAGTCGCACGGTGCCATATCAGGTGAATACGGCGAGTGGTTAATGGTTAAAATGTGATTTTTGGTCAAATAATCGGTCACAAGCGTCGATCGTCTGAGCAATTTTTGGTCGTCAGTCAATTTGTGCGGAACAAATATAATATGCGATAAATCGATGGAGATGTTAAATTCCATTTCCATCAATTTCAATGATGATTTCGGCTGATTTTTGATGAATTCACGCACAGTTTCGATGGAATTTTCGGTGATCACGAATTTAGATTGGCCCACATGTTGATCGTCATTTATGTCCTCACGACCATGCTACGGGATAGGCAATCATAGCCATAAACTTGTTTCATCAATTGAAACATTTCGGTAAAAACCAATTTTAAAACAAAATTTAATGTTGGCTCTTTGTTCGAAGCTCATTTTCGCACCGATAACCCAAATATACTGACACTTAAAACGCAATAACTTCACTTCTAATCGATGAAATGTCATGAAATTCTCACTGGACAATCGATAAAGATTCTAACGCACCAGTCGACATATAGATCGCGCCACCAGAGGGCGTTAGATTCAAAAAGTCCTGTTTACTTGTAGTAAGACCGTAGTATTAAAACAATATTATAAATTTAAATATTTATTGGTATTTTGCATTTGTAGGAAAGTTTGTCGCCGATTTGTGGTTTGTAGTATAATCATATTGTATTCTTTTCATTAAAAATGATCGTGGCGCATTTAAAATGTAAGAAACAGAATTTATTTACGCATTAGTCAACAATAACTAGCTAGGATTAATATCAGTCAAAGATCGCTGGCTATTTCAATCGAATGTTCTAAATGAAACAAGCGCCTTAGACACGGCGGAAGATCGAAGTCGGCAAATAAGCATTGCCTGGGGCCTTGGCATTGACGGGACGAGCGGGTCCTTGCGATGCAAAGTTAAGCACGGGAGCAACACCACCATCGGCAGCACGGCTGGAGCCGCCCAATTGATCGTATTGGGACTGGATGGCGCGCTGAGCATTGGCAGCATCCTCAGGGGTGCGGTACTTGACGAAGTGGACCTCGGGCTTGTTATTGTTGTTGCTGCGAATAGCATTGAGTTTGTTGGCCAGATCACCAATATCAGCCTGTTTGTTGAGCACATAGATGGCGGTCTCCTGCTGGGCAGCCTGTTTGGCCAGAGCCAGAGCAGCATTCTCCAGGCCACGGTTTTCGGGTCCCTTAATGAAGATCACACGCAGTCCCTTGTTCAAAGATCCTGAAACCTTTTCCAAAGCCTGGGGCTCATCAAAGTCCTGTTCGTTAGCGCTGTAGGTGAAGAACTCCTTCTCCAATTCAGCAGCTGGGGCAGGTGCGTTGTAGTTAACAGGGGAATCCAGGGAGCCGCCTGACAAGCCACCGAGATTGCCCAAGCCAAGACCTCCGCCGATGCTGCCACCTCCAAGGCTGCCACCTCCAAGACTGCCACCTCCAAGGCTGCCACCGCCAAGACTGCCACCTCCAATGCTGCCACCACCAAGGCTACCGATGCTGCCACCTCCGATGCTGCCACCACCAATGCTGCCGATACTGCCACCACCGATGCTGCCACCACCAAGGCTGCCGATGCTGCCACCACCAATGCTGCCACCGCCGAGGCTGCCGCTGCCCGGGCTGAAGGAGAGGCCGGAGTCGGAGTGACCAACTGGCTGATAGTTGTAGCCCAGCTTGTCGGCGCTGGCAACAGCCACTAAGCATAAAACCTGCAGAAGAGAACGAATTTAGTAATCCTTAGACCGGTACGGGTGGTATTCCTTCGATTCTTTGACTTACAATAAATGCGCGCATCTTGAATCCAACGGAAGTTCTTTGACTGTAAACGTTCAGTTGTGTCTGATGTTTGCATCACCGGATCTCTGATATTTATACGAAAACCACCGAACCGTGTCACTCGCTGCGCTCAAGTTCATGCAGATCTGCGCGGCCGCAGTCGTGGAGCTGTTGTTGTTGTTGTCAGTTTCAGGCATTTTGCAGCAACTTCTTTGCTGCTTTGTCTTTCGAAACGTTAGCCACCATCGAATGGAGGCACCAAAGAGATAAAACAATGGCGCCGCCGCCGCCGCATCTCACATATACTCGAACACACGATCACACAGGCAATACAGTTGAGACGCAGACAAAGCGCATTTCGACTTGTCGGCCCATTCTTGCAAATGTTGTTGATGGCTCGATTATGCTAATGCGCCCCAGCCCTAGTCCAAGACCAACTACTTTGCTAGGCCTCTTTCCATTTAAGCGATGTGCACTTAACGAGCGCCTAACCTCTCGGCATTGCATGCCATCGTTTGTGGCCGATAGCATGTAATTTGATCGACTGACCAGCAGGCTCAGCAGCAAACTTGTTTGGCAAAAACCCATAAATGGCCATCGTTTCAAAAAATAAATAATTTTCTTCATATTTTTGTATGCTAAAACAGTTGACTAGACCAGCGATAAATACCAAGTTTCGCTTTGGCGGCGATCAAAACAAGTTCGAGCATCGACTCGATAGAGACCAGCGCGAGTTTTCTACATTTTTATATTTTTGGACACCCATCTAGCTCTTTAGTTAGTTGGAAATTCCCAAAAGTTTATTGTAGCCAGTTTCGTTGGACGCTTTTGTGAAAGATTTTAGAGCAAAAAATAAAAGGAATAAGTTTGCAAAACCAAATTCCATTTGCCAAATTATAGTTGATAAAAGGCTCGTATTAAAAGAAACAATCGATGAGAGAGCCAAAGCCAACGAAATCATAAATCAATTTTAGCTTCCCAACGCATCCAAAAGCCCTTCCCCTTTGTGTCACCTACCCACCCATTTTATCTCACCTATCACACCAATTAGAAGCCATAAAGCTAACAACCGTTTCGCCCTTGAAATTTTACTGTTGACACCTAAAGCTATCGGCAGTAATCAGCTGGCGCCAGCCAGTTGTTTAATCTGATCAGCGATTATCACGTTTTTCATCATGCTTTATTGATGCCATAAAAATTATTGTTTTGCTATTGGGGCTGTGTTATAGATAAATAAAAATATAAAAAAACGCTAACAATTTTGAATTGATTTGCATAATTAAATGGCTCCAACGAAAATCATAAAATTATCTCCATATGTGGAGAGATATTTGCAAAGCAAATGCGGAGAACGCCAAGCAACATGACTAAAATATGTGTTAAATGAAAAGATTTAGCTATAAGTAGTTTGGAAGCTGACAAATTGACTAATCCTTATTTTCTAAGAAGACTTTGATTCATAAACTCATCACTCATTCATTTCAATTTCTATTTAATTTTTAGAATAAAAGGCACACTAAAAAGACATGTGTCCATGTGTCCAATGTGTCCATGAACAATTAAGTTAATTATGCAAATAGCCATTTAATAATCGTTTTTCAATTGTTCCTGTGCTTAGCTTTAAATACTAGGAAATTCATTGGAAAGCTTTTGAGGCGTAGAGTGAAGAACTATTAAATGAAATCGTGTGATTAAAATTGCAACCTTCGTTATTTAAACAAAAATAGTTCAATAGGAGAATAGAAATTGAAAAACACGCATAACTTATGTATGTATATGTATATGTACATGTGTACGTCGTAATTGGAATACTGAAGTCCACCCGAGTTTAATTTCATGTTACTCGACTCTTCTTGTTTGTCTGCTTCTGTATAATTGCCATCCTCTAGTGAGATCCTTCTTCATTGAATGCTTATGAAAATATATAGTATTCAAGTATATGTTTATTGGTTTCTCGCACTCGTTAAAATGCCCAACCTCATATATAATAGGTTTGTTTTTGTTTTTCATTTGCTGAACAATGACTCCACCTTAGCCCCCAACTGTTGCTGCTGACGCTTCACCCCTTATCGCTGCCTCGACTGTCGCCGGCGGCAATGTCATATGGAAACGATACAAATGTAAACACAATAAAACAAACTAGCTACAATTTCAAGGTCTCGGACACAAAACGCACACACGCACATAAAACTGCACGCGGTAGCGACATAAAAACAGGTCACAAATATGCTGAGGGTGTCGAACGCACACATACATACATACATATATACTTACATACATGCATACATACTATATACAAATGATAAAAGTTGCTAGACAACGTCGACACACCAATAAATAAAATGCGGTCAGTCCGCTCAACTGACCGCCCGCTCTATGCAAATGGAGCTTTGGACCAGAGCTAGCAAAGCAGACTAGGCTGTATCGATCTATTTACAAATCTGTCAAACTTTTCGTGTGCGGCCAAAGTGACAATATAATTTTTATCGCCCGACCAGCGATAACAATAACAAAACAGCAGCAGCAGTCTCAGCATCGCCGCTAGAGATGAGCAAGACTTTCGCTTCTGAGGGCCGGTCCAGGCCGAGCATAAAAGTTGTGCACGTATCTATCTGTATAAATGAATATCTGAAACGATTTAATTGAAGTATTTTTTGTTTTATTTATTATTTGTATTTAACATCATTATTCATTAACATTTTGGCATTTAGGATAGGAATCGTCGTATTCAAATTAGGTGCGTGAACATTAATTTCGAGGTCCACGCTCATCTCTAGCAGCATTTACGCCAACACCATCAAATATTTAATATATGCAGATATTGTAACTTGCTGCCAAATCGGTTGGACAGTTTCGGTAGATCTCGCTGCTGCTTTTAGTGCCTAAACGAAACTGTCGCTGGTCTTGTATTCGCCATAAATTGGAGCATTAAGAAATTCTCGAAATCAAGCGCTTTGTTTCAACAAATTGGCAATTTTTTTTGCTGCAACCGTTGACCAGTTTATTTGTTTGATGTTGATTCTTTCTTCTATCTATTTATACTCTGTACATGAAATGTACAAGAGTATATTAGGTTTGCGGGAGCTGAAAAATGTAACAGGCAGAAGGAGGCGTGGCAGACCCCACAAAGTATATATATTCTTGATCAGCATGACGAGACGAGTCGATCTAGCCCTGTCTGTCTGTCTGTCCGTCTGTCCGTCTGTCCGTCTGTCCGTCTGTCCGTCCGTATGAACACCTGGATCTCAGAGACTATAAGAGATAGAGACACCAAATTTTGCACGAAGATGCGTTATGTGTGTATTCTATACGAGTTTGTTTTATTTTTTTGATTTTCCCCCCCACTTCCCCCCTATGGGGGTTTTCCCGATTTTCCATTCGTATAATCGCCTATATCTCGGAGACTATAAGACCTAGGAACACCAAATTTTAGTCCCAGATGCCTTATGTGAATACGCAGAAAATGTATATTTTGGAATTCCCCTCCCTCCCCCCTCTACCCCGCAAATCGTAACTCCCGTAATTCTTGGAATTTCGAACTAAAATTTTGGAAATACCCCCAGTTAGTTATTATGTGTCCGTATGCCAAATTTCATTATGATAGACCGATTTAACAAGAAGTTATAGCCATAAATATATTTGCTGATGCAGCGCTGCTGCAGCGCTGCTCAAGCGCTGCCCGCGGCTGTTGTTGATGTTGCTGTTTGGTTGACTGCGAAAATGCTTACACAGACACGAATTGATGCGCATAGGCATACATACACTCACACAGACGCAATTGCTATGTAAATGTGCAATTATACACCCTTTACGTGAGTTCGAATACCGAGAGAGGTAAAATCGATCAAATTTTATTTTTTTTTTTTCTTAATTTTTTTTATTTTCTATAATTATTGTAAACATATGTACAGAGTATTTCAAAGTCGGGACACCCGACTTTAGCTTTTTTACTTGTTTTATTTTTTCATTGCGAAACTTTTAGCTGACTGGCTTTTAAAATCATTTTTACGATCTGTTGCCATTGTTTGAATTCCTCATTGTGTTTTGCAAAAAAATATTCATATAATTTCCGCATACCAATAAAATGAAATAAAACCAAAAAGAGTGACAAAAAATGTGCGCATAGTTGGTCATAAAATAAAATGGAAATTTATAAAATTTGATATGCAAATAAATTAAGGCAATTATTTAATGTACCACAGAATGCAAAAAATGCAAAGCAAACGAAGTGAACAGTTATTTATTCGAGCAGTGGCATGTGTTTCTTTTTTACAATTTCATAAATGGGTTTGCACTTTATTTTCCATAAATCGTGAACGTTGTGTTAGCAATCAAATAGCGATACTGTTTATTTCGGCAAATTGGAACAAAAATGATTAACGTTTATATAGGCATTGCATGAGCTTTACTTCACTTAACTTTTTACTTTCCTTTTGCTAGTTAATCAAGCGACAAAAGCGATACAACAAATTGGCGACGACGTTGCCGAGCAAAAGTCAAACCACTTGCAGTGAGTAGGGAGGACGCATAAAAACAAAGCCCTTACATAAATTGTGCGCTTATTGTGTATGCCTCAACGCCCTCAAGTAGGCAATAAATTATTTTCGAGCATGCAAGTGCCACAGACGCGACTTGAGCCATAGGCAGAGGACTTGGGCTTAGGCTTAGGCATAAAACACCCGGCTTAGGCTTAGAACATTGGCGCCAGCTAAGTCTAGTCCGTGGCGCAGCTGACACTTTTGTGCCTGCTTTGCTTTTTATTTTAATTGCGAGCATATATCTAAATACGAGTTTTTGTGGGTACATATGTATGTATGTGTGTGGGTGGGGGTGTGTGTGTGTGTGTGTGTGTCCCACATAATGCTATATGTGTGCCCATTATACGCCAAGCAAAAACTACACGATGTTTTTCAAACTCGTTTGGGCGTAAGGACAGTAGCAAGCAAGCAAGCACTTTATGAGCAGCAACGCGGCTCTAATGACAACAACAACATTTAGTACAAATACAAAAGCAACAACAACAGTTGCAACAACAATAT